TAATAGCTATGTATTTATAACAAAACAGAAACTAATTATTTGGATTGCACGATACCGTGGAGCCTTCCGAGGAAAATCAGATCAGGCCCATATGGCCTTTATCTTTTGATTCGTGAGATATCATAACATTCTTAAAATGAGGATCCCGCTTTATTTAAATTTAAGAATGAAGATCTTTTGGTCTAGTATTTTCAGAAGAATAAGATGGGTAGTCAAAATTAATATAAAACATATATTATTGAAAAGTTCTTTGATTTGATGTGCTATATATTTCGGTATTAATTCTGCCACATTATATAGCTATCTGTTTGACACCGAACAGAAACTAGTATTTTGAATGTTGGTCTGCCCTTTACTAATAAAAATAACATCTTGTTCTATCTTTTTAAGCTGTTTAAAGGTATATTATAGGGCGAAACCTTTGTTTACTGGTATTATATGAATCTAAAATATTGGTGCAGTGCATTCAGAGGCTTGCAGCCTGCGGCGATGGGTCTGTTGTCCGAAAGCCATAACTTCTGATGGCATTGCAACTTGAGGCACTTGCAGCTGTCGATTCGAGCTGCTGGATCTGGACTTAAAGACGCCACGAGCTAATGGCAACCGGTTAGACACGCGCCTCGAAAATGAGCGAAATTAGGCAGATGCTGAACTTGGAGGCCGTGGATTTTGCACTTCCAGTTGCGCGGCAGCTGCCACCTCAATTAGGCGCAAGATTGAAGGCCACAGAGGTGTATCCATAAACAATCGCCCCAGCTGATAAAATATTCATTTTTCAATTCGCAATTTCAGCAGCAGGTTGAAAAATGCGAGATGCCACCACAATAAAGTGAAAACTCTGCCGAGCTTCTTTGAATTTGATTTCACTGCCGTCTGAGGGAAAGTGGTTCCTTGGCAGTGTGTGTTGTGTGTGCGGGTGTGTGGTTTCTTGGCCCACATATCGATATCAGGTCCTTCCACCCACACTCACACACCCAACTTGGCTGGGGGCTCGTATCTGCCGGCGCACAAACACAAAGGATATCGACTCCCTTTGAGCAGAATGATGCAATTATTCACACTTGATTAAATACTCAAGAAAAGTGAAAGTGCGTGGAAGGAAGCCGCCTGCGCCGCCTGAAAAGCGCCCGCATTGAGATGTTTTCCAAAAATTCATAAATTTAAATTAGCAGCGAGCGGTTCGGCTGGATGATGAAGCCATCTAGTGTCTGGCGCCCTGGGCTCACCTTCAGATGGTTTTTCAATTACTCCACCGAGCCGAGAGCCGAGTGCCTAGAGCCCAGAGTCGAGCTAGCTGAGGGCCATTAAATGTATTCCATTTGGAGGACCCAGCCTGCAACCTCATTTTCCTGTCTATGACGAGCCTCATTTGGCATCTTGCTTGATTTGCCGTTTTTATTTATTCATTCAACTGTCTGTTTGTGGGGCAGAGGAGGGGATGAGTGGAGGAGTGGAGGCGGTGGCCATCCGGCTGTCCGACAGCTGACTAACCAAATCAATTCGCATCAATATCGAGCAAACCCATCAAAGTCAGTCATCGACTGTAGAGGCGATGGGAGCGGAGTGGTTCGCCGGGTGGAGCAATCATCTATGCCATCCATCCGCCGCATCCTTCGGTGGGAATATTCTGCGTAGGAAGCACGCCAGGCTGCACATTGCTAATATCCTGCCGCAGCTTCCCAGCCCCCCTTTGTGCGCACATATATGGGTATCCTACTAATTGAAATTCATTCTCAATCTGCCAAAGCCAGAAAAGCGCGCTGGCGCTCGTCCCTGTTCTTTAAACCTATGTACAAAATCCAATTTTCGCTTAGCCGAAACTCCATCGAAATTCGGTGAACCATGGCAAGGGGTCGCATCTTCGCATCTTCACATGCGTTGAAGGCCCATAAATCGCGGCTAGGTAGAGCCATTACGGATAGATATCCCTACACATATATCCGAGACCCGGGGCAATTACCACATGCCACGATTTGCGGCGCAGCGGGAGTTCGCTCTCGGTGGCGACTTCAAGAGGCAGGCCTTCTGCGATTGTTTTCATTTGACATCCACAGCTCCCGCACTCCAACCTTCCACCTTGCCACATGCTGTCGATTTGTGCATGCACTCCCTCACATGTGTGTGCGCTTTAATTTAGTCTCATCTTTCTGTCAACAAGCGGTCTGAATATGGCCAATGCAATGTCTATTTCGGTCTGGGATAAATTTATCCGGCCGAGGACAAACACACACCGAGCAGAAGGAAAATAGTATCGAATTTCTCGCTTTTTAAAAACTACTGTTTTGCCATTTCACTAATCCCGCTTATATCTGGGATAAGCCTGGCAAAGATAAAAATAAAATCACAGATTTTCATCAGAAATGCATGAAATAAAGCTTATGCTCACAGAAATAATAGTGATACTTTATAATATTATTGCAATATTTAGTGCTATCTTTTAAATTATAAAGTGTTATTAAAATAGAATAAAAATGGATGAAATAAAGCTTATGCTCACATAAATAATAGTGATACTTTATAATATTATTGCAATATTTAGAGCTTTCTCTTAAATTATAAACTGTTATTAAAATAAATTTTTTAAATATCCGTGACAATAATATCTCTAAACTGAGTTTTGTAAATTTAAAAAAAATAAAACAATTTCAAATGTCAATATCATAAACATATGTTAAGCTATATTAGTACTGATACGTATATGGAATAAATAGTTCTTAGTAAATGGTTAACATAGAGAAATCAAAGTAAGTGCAATCTCGGTCATGCTCAAAAACAAAACAGTTTCAAATATTTAGACCATTGACATATTTCAGCCATATTGGTAATAGCACATACATGAAATAAACAATTCTAAGTAAACGGGTAACATAGGGAAATCAAAGTAAACGCAATCTCATTCATTGTTGACATGTCTACAAACCTCAAGTCTACTTCTAGCTCTAAATTAATGACCAGATATAAGCTCTGATATTTTTGTCCCCCAACACTTTCAATTTCGTTTAAGATTGCAGACCAATTTCGATGATATTTTTTGCTGCGCTGGGATTATCTGGAAACGGGGTAGGGGGAGACCGCTTTTGATTTACAATTACGTAAGTTCGCTTAGCCCACGCTGGGACCCTGGCTTCAGTCGGTGGTTTTTTAGGGGCGTGTGGGCGACTTGAGTCAATATTGAACTGGTTAGCGGACTCAAGGTGCTGCTGGGGCGAAAAATCTGCGGACTTCGGACTGTGGTGGCCCGTGGCTCGTTAAGCCAAGTAGCCGAGTAGCCGAGTCTGGGCCAAACATGGGCGTTTTCCAGTTTCTTTCGCCCAGCTGCCCACACTTGCGTCCGCAATCTCGGCAGAGATTCGCCTTTTTTTTGGAGAGGGCAGCGCAATTAACTTTGAACCAGCTCGAAAATGACAGCCGCACACAAGTCAGCTGCAGTGGCGATGCTTCCTGGAGATAGCAGCCGAGATAATCTATGTGCTCGAACCCGTGCCCAGTGTGCTTAACACTCTGGCCTTTGAGCAGCAGCACAAGCAGAAGGAAGCGCAGCCCCTCAAGTGGCGGCCACCTCCTCCTCCGCCTGCTCCTGCGCCTGCTCCACCCACAGCCACCATTGATGGCGCTCTGGTCAAGCTGTACTTGGGTCGTGCTATTGTCAATGCACTTCACTACATTGCCAACTGTCAGAGACAAAAACGACAAGTCGCGACGACTTTTCCGCACTCCCAGACCCTTTTTCCACCCCAGCTTTTCCCCGGTTTTCCCGCTTTTCTAGCTGCACCAACACATGCTCGCCGTATATCTATTACGGCGTGTTTGTCCTACACTTTTCCAGCTCCTGCTGCTTCTGCTTCAGTTGCTCTGCTCTGGTGGCATACATTTCTGTGCTGTTCTGTGTCCCCACACGGACACGGACTCACCCACACACCCCCGCCCGCCACTCACACATGCACAGCTGACAGACAGACGCAACTTTCCTGCGTTCGTGTGTCCTTGTGCTTGTTTTTTTGGTCGCCTCAGCCTGGCCTGTCTGTTTGTTGACATATTATGATCCTTGATTATTTTGTGCTGACAAATACATGCTTTTCCTTTTGCCACACAGCGCTGTACGTAGGTATATCTGCCCAGAAGCCTACATCTAGATAGACTTCCGACTTCCGACTCTGAATCTGATTCTGATTCTGATTTTGATTTCGATTCCGACTCCCATTCGTGACTGATTTTTCCCTCGTTTCCCAGGGGGCGTGGCTCGGCTTGGCCAGGTGCTCTGCAACTAATTGGTCTGGGTCTTCCCTTTGCTATCCCCAGTTTATTAGGCTTTTAATGATGGGCGTTCTCTGTAAATCCGCTTCCATTCCGACTTCAAGCTCCACACACGCCCACAAATGTCATGAGAAAAGGCAGCAAACCTGCTCCCCAAGCGAACCAAAAACCCAAAGCCAAACTGTGGGCGTCGACACAATATTTTGTAAATTATATTCGATTGTTTGGTTGTCTGTTTTTTGTTTGACACAGGGGGGCGGGGACCCAAAGCTGCTCGGGGATTGAGGGGCGGAAGCCAGATAAGACCGCAAGTGCATGACACACAAGTACCGGTTGCCAGCTCAGAACTCAGAGCTCCCAGTTTGCAACTCCCATTTTCCAACTCCACACCCATTTATTCCCAGCTCCTCAACCTGTTCGTCGATAATGCGTCTGATTGCAGCGGAAGTGGAGCGCTGTTGTGGTACGTGTGTCCGGTGCTTCTTGGCTTGCATAATGTGTAATTATTAATTAGTTTACTATTCTAAACCCCCCCTACCCAAGCCATCAGTCAGCCATAGGAGCTCTGCCACGCCCCAAGATGGCATCGCCCCGGTTTCCTCCTCGACCAGACCGCAAGATCCATTAAAAGGATACAAATACGGCCTGCAACATGCAAAGCCTGCTAATGAACCACAGCTGTTGCACTGCCAATAGCCATTGTCCATTGTCCATTATCCTCGGTCCCGGTCAAGTTGTCAACTCACCCAGGCCCAGGAGCTGAAGATGTTTAATCCACAGTTGACGGCAGCGTCGTCGCTTTGTTGCATGTTGCTGCCACTTGATGTGTTGTTGGTGCTGCTGATGATTCTGATGCCTCTGATGAGTGTGATGATTCTGCTGCAAAGCCATCTTTCTGGCCGTTATGCTCGCTTTGTTGGCTATTAGCGGACTGTTCTGGGAGCTGGGGAAAAACCCGATGTTGCACTATGAAGTGCAGCAGTTGCCGTTGCTGCCACACCAGCTGTCACTGCGACACATTTGCTTGGGGTCACCACTCGGAGCACTTTTTGTTTTTGAACCGGGATCGAAATCGGAAACGGGATTGGGTTAGCGCCGCATTGTGGCGGCTGTTCACATGACCGCCGGAGCAGGGGGCAAATAAACCGAGGGCGGGGCGGGGGTTCTACTTCTAGGACTGCCGCTTGGCCACTTTAAGATTCGCACTTGCCATCCGCTGGATGTTGGCGCAGACTCGATAATTTGGCGTTGTTATCGCGGCACGAGGAGTGCTGTGTGTGTGTGAGTGTTTCCCTTGCCTTTGCAGGGGTGTGGGTGAGCGGTAGGCTCCGTGCGAGGCGGTCGAATAACGGAACGGAACGCGGAGCGGTGCGCCTGGCGAGCGTCCTCACGGAATCAGAGCTAAAACCGAACTAAAACCTCGAAGCTCGCGTCGCGACGAGCGCCACAGAACGAGTATCTGTGAAGTACATCTCATCCACATCGGCAGCGTGCAGCAGGAGGCGAGCGAGCGTCGTGCAGAGAGAGAGATACACATGTCCAGATATAGGTGCTCATATAAGAGAGCATCCGCCAGAGCGGTCTGTAAACACTCCGCTCGAGCACGTTGTTTGTTGCTGCCTCCGAACGGTGCGTGGTGTTGTTGCTGCCGTGCGAATCCAAGCCGGTTATGCCCATTCGCTTATACTGGGGCACTCCATCTGTTCCGGGGGTGGATGTATAAGCACCAGTATCCGAAGAGCGCAGAAGACGGACTTACAAACGTAGAAGTCGAGGAGGGTTACCATTCAACTGGTACGTGTGCCCACGAGATACACTCGGTCTTCTAATCGCGTTTTCAGTGCGCTGCGAGACCTCTTCTAACACCACCAAAGAGTAGAAGTATGCGTATGCGTATGCGTATAAGCAAATATAATATAAGTTCTAACAAGCTCAAAGCAATTTTATTTTGATTAGGGTATCATAGATAACAATAAAGCTAATAAAGTTTAATTGGTTTTTTTTTAATATATTATATTTTTAAGGAAGACTATAGAGGTTTTTAAGCTGTATTTCGTATATGACTATGCAAAGACAGTATAAGTGTGAACTTATATTTGAGCTCTATGAGCACCAAATAAATAAAGCAAAGATATATATTTTTAGAAAAATTAAATTTGCAAGCTTCTTTACTTTTCCAACTTAACAACTTAAGTATTATTTAAGAAGCTAAATATTGTTTAATTTATAGACCGTATGCGACAGTTTATAAGCCAGCTGTATAAGTCATCGAGCGGACTTCGCTTCAATGATGTTTTTGGTATAAATATAAGTTAAGACCAAATTCCATAGAATATAAGTCGTTTCTCTACAGTAGCTATCAGTTCTTGTATAAGTATAAGTTAATGTATGCTTTCTTCTGAAATGGTATAAGGCTGGCAGAACGCCAATTTGTATAAGTCAAAGAAGCAGGCTTTGTTATAAGATGAAAGCGAAACTGTTATACAAGCTGGTTTTCCGTAGAAGTTCGATGCACTCCTCTAAAAATGTTCGAAGTTCGAGTGTATTCACGGCTGTTTGTTTTGTTTTGTTTGCCATTTGAGTGGTTTCTGAGTTTGGTCTTCGGGGGTTATTCCCTAATTGCGAAATATGTCTGGGCAAATGTGTTTCGTCATACCCACTCGCAGTTTTAATCTGCGTTTACTTCGCGTGCCCCCGCCCCTGCCACGCCCCTGCCCTTTACGACAGCAATTTTCAAATCATTTGCACGGGAATCACCTTATATGCCCGCAGTTACCCATATGAGTGGAATGCGAGCCTCCAAACACTTGTTACACGCAATGCTGAAAGTCCCCTGGGATCGCTTCCCTTGCAATTTTCCTGGTTAATGCTATTTGGCAAGACATAAGATGCGAATTTCAAGGAATTTCTTGTTCAAAATTGCAGAATTATATGTATGACGGGTCTAGGTCTGAAAATTGGGGTAACAGCTCATTATGCACGAATAGGGGCCCACAATAAAACCCAAATTAAATCTATTCCGGCGAAATATTCGTGAGAATTCGCGGAGTCCCATTGAGCAACTCAATAATCCTGCTTACTTTCCTTGCCTCTTTAATTCCCAAAGTGCGCGCTAATCCCTTAAGCAGTCGAGATAGATGTCTTAAGGGAAACAATCTTGATAACAATATTTTTACTGTTAAGGAAACGTAATCGAGTTCCTTAAATCACAACAGGGCAATCTAAAAAGCATAAACGTGTTAAAAACATCCCAGAAATAAAATTGAAGGGGGATTTCTGGTCAAAACAAGTAAGGGAGATGGGTGTTTGCTTGTTATAAGAGGAAACAACATCCAGGATTCGGAGGAGAAACTCTGTCAATTGAACATGAAAAGCCCAGATGGTAATTGCCTTCCTGAATACTTACTCTACCTTTTGATTCCAATCAGACTCCAGCTTTAAGAATCGCTGCTCCTGAAGGTGGCTTTAAATTATGACGACTTAAGTCCTTATAAACATCATATCATTTAAAAAAAAACAAGAGAAAATGGTAGAGTTGGCGGCTTCAACTATCTAATACTCGTTACTCAGCTAAGGGGAGTGTGAAATAAGTGGAGATATGCAAGCAGCAAAGTGACTGTTCAAAATATTACACACTCAGCAACAGCGCCACCTAGAAACGATTTCTTTATGAGCTTATAACTTTTTAACGGGTGGTCCGATTTGGACAATTTTTGGCATGAAGATAAAATAAGTTTGATAATCAAAACAAAATTGCATGTACACTTTTACAAAATCTGTGGGCGCTATTCAGCTTTTAGCGTGGGCGTATGGGCGATTTGTGGGTGTTAGTCATAACCTCAAGAATCTACATGCCAAATCGCAACTTTCTAGCTTTTATAGTTTCCGAGATCTCATACCAGAAAATAAATCTCCCTGCCAACCTCCTGTACTGAAGGTTTGTCAAGACATCGCGCAAAGAATAAAAAAAGACAACAAAAATGAAATTGAAAATGTTCTGATAAATGGTAGCGATGTCATTTCAACTAATAGTACAAAACACATGCAATTAATATTAACTTAATTGTTCGTATGCAAAAATTATTCAGAAACCGGAGGCCAATTCCAGAGAAAGAAATATTTATAATCAATATGCTTCTAGGAAATCCTTACCTAGAAAGGATCTCCGATATGCTCCAGCACGACTCGAAATGCACCTCAATTGCTTTGCTTACTTCTTGATTCTCATCAATAAGACCGTGGTACTTGCATTTCCTTTCGAACATGTTTTTCCATCTAAGTACCAGTCTTTATTATCAAAAGAATTGCAGGAGAAGCTTTCAGAAAGAAGAACGAAAATTCTCAAGACAAAAAACCATACAATACATTCACAAAGTGGTCTTCTGGTGTTTTTATGCTATTTCAGTAGTGTGCCCAGTGCAGAATTTGAACATCCTAAAATTGTGATTTTGAAGTAAGTGGTGCAGTGTGTTCACACAGAGCATATTTTAAGCGAAAGAGGCGAATAAACCGTTATGAAGTACGAAGAACTTCAATGCTCTTCTTAAAAAGCTAAGTTTTGTTAACATCAGGGGCGCATCATGGGGGTTTTCGGGTTACCCCCAATCATAGTTGAGCCGGTTTTGATTCCCAATGACACCTTCTCACCCTATGTGATTACCAGACCCTACGATTTGGGAATTTTGTTCGAAAAACCGCTCGTTGTGCAAATCCTAGATACCCTAAAACCTCTCTCCTGGAAATAATGATCAAAGATAAAATAGTAGATTAACAATTTAACAAAGTTAATTAAATTCGAGTATCAAAGAAGTTGTGTTTAACTTTTCTGAAAACTAGTATGATAGTTCCATCATTGGACTTTACACAGCTTTACTCAAGCAAAACCGAAAGCAAAGAAAGTGTTTAGTAGATGTCCTTGAAACAAGGAAAAAGAGAATAGAGACAGAGGAAAAGGAATGACCCAAGCAAAACGTCGATGAATTCGTTCGCCTCATCTTTCCGCACGTCATTCTGTGTCCTCGAATCTTCTTGTTCTTCCGCATTCGCCAGATGCAACGGATGGGGGGGGGGGAGTCCCAGCTAGTCGGCACCTTCGGCGGTTCTCCTTTTGGGCTATGTATCACCCGCTTGGGGCTGCTGGCTGGGGGCAAAACAAATCAATAAACGACAACGAGAGTTATGTACCCAAGGCATTGAATATGCCCCAGCTCCCGCCCTGTCCTGCCCCGCCCCCTCCCTCGAAAGCCTCAATTGGGAGCGTCGGGCTTAAGCTACATCGCTTCTAAGCTAAGCCTCCATCCATCCATCAAGGCTCGAATACCCTCGGCTCCTCGCTTTCCCGTTTGCTGGCAGGATCCGCCACATCAATCGTGAATCGAGGTCTGCATGTACACCTCACTTTCCCCTGTCCCGGAAGCATTTCCCTTTTCCACACTGAGAAAAGCTGGCTTCACTTGGGCAAAGATACTAAATACTAAACTTAAATACCAGTATTCATTTTGGTATTATCAGAGACCCGTTTAGGAATCACACAAACCAATAAGAGCTTCTATTGATTCTTAATTCTCTTAGGCAGTTTCATTTTTAGTTTTCAGCTGAAAACGAGGTACTTTAATGAGTTAAGGAATAATAAAAGTTCCATTAATAGCATGACATTTTAATGAACTAGGAAATGAAAAACTGATTTTTATGGGATTTTCTCTGTGTGTGCCCCTACCCTCCGCACTTCAGTTGTTTTTCCTGCTTGTGTATTGCGTTATTCTTATTTTCGGAGATGGGGCCCCGAACACAGACATTCGTAATCTTCAGTTTCATTTGCCTCCCCCGCCTCGATGGGCCCCTCCATTTTCTTTGAGAGCCCTCAGCCTACGTTGTTTGCCATCGGTTTGGGGCGGGGGATTCCTTGTGAGACCGGTTGGTTTAACTAGATTTTCCTCATTGTTGCTGCCAATATTTGCCCACTGCTGTGGATTCTCTTTGCCTTACCTGTCTGCCGGCTCGTAAGCTTTGCATTTCCACAACTCAATTTCCCTGTCAGTAACTGGATTAACTGCAGAATGCATTCCGTATTTATTCTTTAATTTAATGCCCTACACATACCGACTAAACGCACTCGCCCTCTCACTGGGCACTTTTATAAAAATGAAAAGCAAATATTTTCGCACGCATACCGTACAAGTGAAGCATAAATATTTGTTTGAAAAATGAGCTATCCACTCGTTGGCCATAAATAAGATAGAACAAGGAAGAGCCGAGCCAAATACTTAGCCAACTCCGGAGTCCCATTCCCGTCCGCATAGCTCAGACATTTTCGAAGATTAATTTGCAAACAATGTTCATATACAATTCTGGATTGGCCGGGCACGCAATCTCCGGTTCTGAGGAGCTCTCAGGCGGATGGATTTCGATTCCGGTCCACGTTTCACAGTTCACTTTTTGTTTGCTCTCTTTTTAATTATATTTTAATTTATTTCGAGGCGGGCGGGGAAAAAACATCCTTGAGAAGGAGACATTTTTGCGGTGTTTTCTTTTCATTTTCTTTTGGCACTTTTGCATATCGTAGATTGTGGGCGGGCTTCTAACTGGTATACACAACAAAATTAACACATTCGCTGCGACTCAAGGACCCACTCCCTAACTTCACCTAACTCCTCCCAACTTGGGCCAACGCAAACAATTGCAAGTTATTTGTGAAAATTTTATTGTAATTACAAAAGTTTTCCCATGTTGTTTTGCCACGCCTTCACCCCTCTGCAACCCTCTTTCGATGCCCTGATACCTTGAATTATACACAAAATAGGTTCCCTCCGCATCGGCATCCACATCCACATCCACGTCCACATCCACGTCCACATCCTCCCCTGTTCACACTGCTCCCGTTCGGTCTGGTTCAATTTCGTATTTGGGACTCGGTTCGAAAACTCAGTGTTTCAGCAAACTTTATCCACTTCATTATTTGCTCGTTTCCATTGCTGTGTTTCGCTGTTTGGCTTGTGTTTGCCTGTTTGTTCGCCAGTTTGCATTGTTGCCTCGTTTCGATTTTAATTGTATCTGCGTGCAGAGGCCACCACCTCCATCCACCCAACCACCCCACCATATAGCCTCCATCACCCCATCCCAAGTACCTGCGAGTATATTAAATACCGGAAAGTTCTCGGGTCAATGAAGGGCAAGCGGTCATGGAAAGCGGCAGGGGGTGATAACTAAACAGGTGAGTTTGTAAGTGCGTGCAGGATACAAAATCAAGTATTTCGCCCTAAGATATGCAACTTGAACTTGATATTCAGTTATGAGATGGAAATATAAACCTAAAAGTGATTTGTTAAAATCAATAAGTAAGAGTTCCAGAATTTTAACTTTTACTGCAAGTAATGAGTTATTTAATACTGTTCGGCAAATTTAATTGGGATGTTTTAAATTGAAACAAACTACTACCCTTCTATACCAACGATTTCAATGCTTGCAAGAATACTACAATAAAACTAAACTTATGAGGTCTTTCTTAACTCAGGCAAGTTATGAGCCAGCAAAACTAACCAACGCATTCGATATTCAAGCTTTAATTACAAGAAAATTTGGGAATCACTAAACTAGTTTGGGAGAATTTTAAGTATTCTGGTGCTTAAACTGGAGTTATTATTATTAATAAAATATAGTTCTGTTAGAATGTGTCGAGATGTTGTAAATAGATGACATTGCCTTAGGCTGGGGTCTTAAATGAAGACATAGATGTGACTGGGAATTGATAAGTGGGCTTGGAGTCGACGACAGTAGTATGGTGTCAAATTGTAATTAGCATACAAATATTTCATGGAAATCGATGCCCCAAGGTAGTCTGAATTTAATTAATTTAAAGCCCCCTAAAAGGTTCCATTGTAGTTGGGCTTCTGGAACTTGTTTATTGGTCAGACTGTTCTAATCGTAGTAAAAGTTGCCGCACAGCCGCTTCCCGTCCCTCAGACGCCTCAAAGGCGATTTGGAGGGCACGGAGTACACGTGAGCCTGCCGCTGCTCCTCGGACATGGCCTCCTGAAGGATGGAGGAGTAGGGGTGCTGGGCCATCTCGGAATGCTGCCGGGCGTAGTCCTGCTGCAGCTGCTCCTGCTGGCACATCTGCTGGTGGCGCTGCTGCTGGCACAGCATCCGCATGTACTGGTCATGGTACTCCGGCTGCTGGCAGAGCTTTTGCTGCCGCATCCGCACCTGGCGGGAGTAGGGAAGGCCCACGCCCATGATCTCTGTGGGGCGACTGCACAAGGGCACGTGGTAGGTCTTCTTCGACCTACCGCTCATCCTGAGCCGCGGTCGCTGTCCGTCTCTTTCCCTGCCAGGTGCGGAGCTCATCTGGGGCTGCTCCGCTCCGCCGGCCAGGTGGGCAGGACGCTCCATTCCAGGCGACCTCTTGGCGTCCACGATCAGGATGTCCTTGAGCCGCGGGGAGTGAAGGTGGGTGATCCTTTTGTTTGGTCGCTTCCGGAGGGGCTGAGTCGGCGCCTTCACCTTCATCCGCTTGGTCTTAGCCCGGTTGACGGACTTCGGGGGAAGCTCAATCTTCTCCTGTCGTTCAGGCTTCTCCAGGTTTCTCGCGCCCAATCTCTCAGCACGCTGAGCGACATCAATCCTCGCCGGCCTGGCCCACACCTTGCGCTCCAACCTCTTCCGCTCCCTTTCCTTCAACCCTTTGATCTTCTTGGGGTAGTGGACGTCCGAGAGATCGGAGGGATCACTGGCCAGCTGCCAGGCTGCGTTCATCCAGGGACGCTGCTGTGCCTCGGCGCCCAGGAAACTTGGAGGCGCCAATGTGGGATGTCTGTCCTGGATTTCGGCCTTTAATGGTGCCATTTTGGGCGGCGGAGCAAAGTACTTCCTCAGCGCGTGCTTAGAGTCCAGGATGCCGGGCCAATTACTGGTCTTCAACGGTCTCGAATTCGCCATTCTGCGTTTGTTCACACTTAATTTTGGTTCAGTTTGAGGGGGCCACATGCATAGCCAACGTTTTGATTTTCGAAAAGGGTGTGGCTCCACTTTTTTTTTATAAAATCTAAAAACACGATCCAAATGTTAGATAGAAGTTTAGATGAAAGGAGACGGGATGCCAACGAAAGTCACGCTTATTTATTGGCCCGACCCCATGTTCGGCATGCGGTGGTTGTGTGCTGTGTGTTTTTTTGGGGGACGGGGGGTTGAGCCCACAAACCGGCCTCCCACAGATGGACAGACAGTAAATCGGTTCGTGGCATTAATGCAAATAAGTGGAAACACAAATATTTTCAACGTTTTTGTGGTCTGGACCGAACTGCGGCAGAGGAAACCTTTTTTTTGGGCCAGAGCCGTTTTGGGACGACAGCACGAGGGTCGATGGATCATTTCCGCTCTCCTGGCTCGCGTCCCTGCCCGGAGTCCGGGTCCCTTTTCCGCTCCCATATTCCGTATCCGCACTCGCTGCCGTGCTGTCCGGCAACCGTTTCCTGTCGGCGGGCGCAGTTAAATATTGAAATTTATATTTAAAATATTTCAAATATACAGTTAAATGCTCGGTTTCCCCTCCTTTTTTTGCGCTACCCTCGCATTTTTCACTTTAGTTTATGTGGAGCATGTTTAATTTATGAGAATTGCTGGTCCTCTTCCTGGGCCCAATCTCCACATCCCCATCTCCCCGGCGTCCTGAGCCGATGCCAATGAATATGAAAAATCAATTTGAAGCTCTGGCCCCGACACTGAAGGTCAAACGCTTGTTTCGGGCCTTTAAATGCCAAAATGCCAAAATGCCAGAGCCAACGAAACGTGGCGAATCGGTTTGTATCGGGTCGTGGTCCCGGCCTATCCTTTCGCCCCCAACCCGGCCTAATTCGATTGTTACATTTCGCCTTAATTTCCTGCAAAAGAACAAACATTTGTGACGTTTCTTGGGTCTTCTCGGGCGGGTCAGTGTCTGTCTCATCCGGTCGGCCGCTCCCCTCAATTTCCAATTAGCAGCAGAAATCACCTTTTCGTCCTTTGGCCGGGACTCGTGTTGTTTCGACTTGTTCCTGTGTTAATTGAGGATTTGCACTTGCCGCGACTTTATGTTCATTGGCGAGGGCCAACTTTCATTTCGTGCAAACGCAAATTTCTTTTCTACTTCGATGGCGCAATAAATGGACGAATAAGGAGGCAGTCAAGGACTCGGCCACGCGCAGGATAATTGTAATGCCCTCTCGTCCTGGGGACGAGGGTCTAGGGGGCAGCGGGTTAGCGGGGCGAGCTCGCCAGATTTTGGACAAGTTTTATGGACGGCGCGGATTGCATTTCCTGTTTGGCAGGCAACAATGCAGGAACCGGAAACGGGAGAGCCAAGATGCCAGGGAGCGGGATGAAGTGGTACACGGATCCGCGGATCCAAGAATCCACGAATCCACTTAGCGGCGCATAAATTTCGCTCGGTACATAAAGTACAAGTGTACAAACAAAAGGACTTTTGGCGCACGGCATTAAAAACATAAAGCAACCGCATCGAGGAGCAGGACCGAAACCAAGACCAAGACCACGACCAAGACCAAGACGAGGTGCACCAGCCCGGGAGCCTGGATGATCCGGGTCACATAAACAGCGGCGAGTGAATAAAATCGCTGCCTCGACTCGAGGAGGAGGAGGATGAATGGAGCATGGAGGGGGGCGAATCCTGGGCCGGGCCAAGTCAGGCGGCCAGGCCACTGCATTGCTATTTACAAAATGTCCTCGACCAAAAGGAGCGACCGAGTGAATCATAAAGAGTCCTTGCCGGGGCTGAAGCTGGATCTGAAGCTGGCAAGAGAAATGCACGTAAAATAATAAACAAGGCTTTGCAAACAATAAATGTTGCTCTCGACCTGCCCCTGCCTCAGCACCACCCAGCCAGCAACCACCCAGCCAGCAACCACCCAACCTGCAACCACCCACTCCACGTCACATCTCTATTCTTACCACATCTGGCAGCTGCAATGCTACGAGTTGTTAGCGACGCTGGCGACGAGATTTCTGCCCGTCCATTGTTAGACTCCGCCTCCATCTCCCCGGATCCGGGGATCCTGCATCTTCGCCTCCGTCTCCACATCTCCGGCTGGTTGTTGCTGCCGCCGCTGCTGCGATAAATGCGAAATGCTTGTAACTGCAATGCAAATGTAATGTGCAAAGGACATTTTACTCGGCTGCTGCAGTTGCTCATCCTGCTCCACGCGCTTCTCCTTCGGCAGTAAATATTCCTCTGCGCTGGCATGGAGGAAGGGGCTTTGGGTGCTCTGGGTGTCCAGGGGTCAGCCTCCTGCATCCGCTGATGAGTGGCCACCACCCATCCACCATTCCACCCCGCCATTCGCCATCCAAGTGGCAACGCACGGCAGACGCCGGTCGCTTTTTGCCGCTGGCGACGTCCTTATTAATTGCAACAATAACTGGGCCCAGGCGACGATGGTGTGGCGCTTTGTAGGAGGCGGGGACTAGGCTGCACTCGGAGAAAAATCATGGCCTTAAAGAGTCATCAGGATTAAAAGAAAATAAATTGAAAATAGAATCAGAACAAGAAAAGCAACTCGAAGTTTATACACCCTTGCAGGTAATAGGTTTATTCAGGAAACCGATAGTTCCTACGATAACTATATGATTAATATAATAATATTTGAAATTCAGAAAACTTGAATTAATGCCATAATCCAAAGAAGTAAATATAATCAAAAAGAAAAAAAATAATAGTTTTTTCCATTTTGCTTTTAGATACATTATAGCTAAAGGATTTGGATCTCCGATTCGGTCTGTTCCATCTTTTTGATCAACTGCAATAGAAAAAACTGTTAGTTATTTTCCGATTGCCTTAAAACTGAGAAACGGCCAGACTGTGATCAAGAATATATGTACCTTAAGGAGTCGAAAAAGTCTCCTTCTGACTGAAATCATAATCCAAGGGTATAAAAAGTACTTTCATAGCTAAGAAATGTAGTACCAAAAGGTGAGCCATATTCAAAATTCACTTCCTTAACATTACAAATTTGAGAGGAATTCTCTAGGTTGTACGAATGTTCCGAAATGGAAACAAAACAAATACTGATCGATAGCGCTCTTATTTATATTCGTCGATATGCAGATTTTTTTTCGGAAACTCTTAATCCCAAAACACTGCATTTCTCTCACTGCACTCGGAGTAACATTCAGCCGGAGGTTCGGTAATGGGGGCTGCACCGTAAGTCTTTCAGCTTTTTGCCTGCAAATTTATGGCTCGGACCTGCAGCTTTTTTGTGGACCAGCGACCACCGGAAGCGGCACTTAGCTCTTGGCACTCGCACTCAGCACCCGCTCCCGCCCGACCTCCTGTCCGCCGCCAGTTCATCATCCGCCGGCGGGTCAGGTGCACTCCACTCCCCTCCCCGACCCTCCGGAGGATAACTACACTCGCTGATAAGTAATTGGGGGGTTTTTGCCGCGGGCCTTGAGTGGGCGGAATCTGGGCCAAAAGTTTGCCGATGCCTGCGGCAGTAAAAACAATTCGTATATCAAAATTTCAATGCCCCTGCTGCCCCGTGTCTAGTTTTTATGGTGAAAGGCTTCGCGGGGCGGCCGGCAGACATTTAAAAGCAATAAAGAGCGATGCAAATGTTATCGGCCAAACTGGCGGCGTAGCTCCGCCAGAAATTACCGAACAGATTCTGCTCCTCAGCCAGGTATTCAAATTAGAGAGATCTCGCTCAGGAGTGAAATGAGCCAAATGCCACTGGTCCTGGTGGCCGTAAAAAGCGCCGACGACCATAAAAACCAAGCCAATTGGATGGAGGAGGGGTTTTGGGGTTGGGGTTGGGGTTGGGGTTGGGGTTGGGGTTGGGGTTCAGGGTTTGGGTAGGGCCAAAAGTGGCGGGCCGTGATTTCGATTTTTTTCTCGGTGTCGTTTGCCCTGGCAAATAAAATGAAAATGTACTCGCTGAGTGCGCGAGAGTTTTGTAGAAAAAGTTTATTTTAATGAAATTCGCACCGACATTTGATGGCGCACAAAAGCCAAGGAAGGGGGGGGGGGGGGGGATTGTTTCAGCCGGAAGTTTGGAGTTGGGTCTCATGTTTGATTGTTGGTGCCGCAAACCGGAGGCGAAGGGCGTGGGCGTGGCCAGGCGTCAGGTGAGAAGGCAATCCTTTGGATACGGATCTGCGGAATGGACCGCAGTCAACTCATGCCGCAGGTACAGTCGGCAATTGTCTTAACATTTATTCAATTTGACTACCTAGAAATCGTAAAGTTTATTTGCCGCTGCCACTGTGAAGTTTTCCTTGGCCATTTCCCCCGCTTTTGGCGGCCATAAATCTGTGACACAGAAGCAAAAGCAACCACCGCAAACATGGCTAACATTTCGGTCGTCGGGGTGGGAAGTTTGAGTTAAACATTTTTAAAAGCCATAAATTTATTGTTCTTGCAAGTGCTCTTGTTGGTGTTGTTGTTGTTGTTGTTGTTGGTGCTGCTGTGAATGTTGCTCGTGTTTTTGTTGCTGCAGTGCAGTCAAGTTGAAAAACGCACAAGTAGGTCGTGTTGTTGGTTGCTTGTGTTTTTGCCGCTGCTCAGTCGCTTATTTAATTCGATTTGTAAGCTAATTCCTGAAATATTATCTGGAAATGTTCAAGATGTAGCCAAGATTTTGTAATGAGTGAGCGAAGCATCCGGATTCAATGACTGGTTTAAGGTCCTTAAATTTCAGAAGCCAAACATAAATGTTTTCGATAATGAAATCATAAATAAAGCTGACTGAAGTAAACACCATTATTTTGGAGACTTAAGCTTTCCTTTGTTACTCTGTAATATAAGACAGCACGTGTTAAGCTAAATTTAATGGGTTCCGATTAACCATATAAACCTCTTTGAAATCATCTAAGATTACTTAAAGGCTATTGGATATCAGCCGGAACCAGCTCTATAGCACCATAATCCTTTGCTTAATTCCCAACTTTTTCTTCCCTGGTACTTCTGAGTCAAGTTGCTTCTTGGAAAACGGCTTAAGTGCCGCCTAAATAATTTAATTGTAACAATGCAGACTGACAGTTTCGCACTTTAACTTTGCAAAGTAAATGACTCCAGCCTTGAGC